AGAATACTGAAAGTACCATAGGCTGCTCATAGAACCAACAGATCTGTGTTGGAAGAAGTGCAGCCAGAGTGCTCCTTGGAGGCCAAGATGGCCAAACTTCATCTCTCGTATTTCAGACATATTGTCAGGAAGGACCAGTCACTGGAGAAGGATACCATGTTTGCTAAGGTGGAGGAGGATCAGAGAAAAAGATGAAGACCCCAACGAAATGGACTGGGCAGGTGGCAGCATCGATGGACTAAAGCGTGACCACAGTGGTGAGGTTGGCCCAGGATAAGGCAGTGTTTTATTCTGCTGTGTACAGGGTTGCTCTGAGTTAGTACCAAGTCGATGGCACCTAACAACAACAACAATCAATCTAGTATTCTGAGAACAGAAGCATGTTCTCCTTGATCTGACGAATCTTCCATTCTGGTTAGAATTTTGAACAACTACAATCCATCAAATTGTAGCAATTTACATTTGCTCACGGTATCAAAAATCTTTATCTTCATCTAGTCAGAATCTACTCTTAAGTCATAGACTCTACCAGGTTTCTCCCCAAAATACAGCTTTTGAGTCTGTGGGTACTCAATATTTATGAAGAATTTAGCAAGGTGAGAAAACACCCCAAAGGTAACTAACATTCACTACTATGGATCAGGGATTCTCAACCTAGGAGACAGGATGACCTGTTAAAAGTCTCTCAGAAGAATGAGCTACAAAGAAAAAAGAAAAAAAGAACGGGCTACAAGAGATCAGAGAAAATATATACAAGAGGGCTTAAAAAAGATTAGGGAAAAAAATCTTTTAATCCATTCTATACAAACTTTTTGGAGTACTGGTGTGGCACTGTGGGTTAATGCAAAGTTGGTTTGAATTGCAAGGTGGGTGGTTCTAGCTTACCAGCCACACCTCTGAAACCCTATACAGAGTTGCTATGATTCTGAGTTGACTTGACAGCACTTAACAACAGTACAAACTTTGTAAGCCCCCTCGATATAATTCAGCAATTAATATTCAATAGTATTATTTTATCTTGTTGAAAACTAACTTTATACTTTTGTTTTTCTCTAAATAGTAAAGACAGATATGCCAAGCTTGATAAAAATCACCATTGCTGTGGATCAAGAACTGGAAATATTGATATAAAATATTTTCTGGTCTGGTGAGGCCCTAAAAACTGTTTTTCTAAGAAAGTTAAAACTTGAAACATAGAAAAACATAAGACTTTTTAATGCATGCCCTCTTTTAATGTTACTTAAAATGCCAACATAAATTATAAGTTATAAAATATATGGTAGTAAAAACTTTAGCATGTAATACTAATTAATCCATTTACCTTCAAAATAACTTCCACTATCCTCAATTAAAAACCAGTGTTGAGGACAATAAAATTTTACCTATGAATCAAATCACACCGATCAGACTCATACTTTAAACCCGGTTTGCTTTTTAACTGAATAGGTCTCTCAAATCATCAGTGTATACAGATGAATTTACAAGAAAAATACTACCTATTTTATGAATGTCAATGAGGATAACATCTACTTCATCTCACAAAGTACTCTTTATTACGATTCACAGCAAAAACTTCCTCTGTTCTCAAGTATCAGAAAAAGTCTGCTAAGCTGATTTTTGCATATTGGTAGCATGTTGGCAATAGATGTTTCCTTCTTTACTTTAGACACTGAGCTAACTTAAGATAGTCACTATCATGCCTACCCAATGACCAAACATACCACTCAAAAGCCATGTTGTTGTTGTGTTGTCGAGTTGGTTCCTACCCATAAAAGGTTTCCAAGGAGTGGCTGGTGAGCTTAAACTGCGGACATTGCAGTCCAGTGCATTAAACCATAACACCACACCCAGGATTCCTTCAAAGGAAAAAAAGGGGTATCACATTGCCTCTTTCTCTTCATTAAACAATGATTTGGCAGGATGCTATTTCATTGACACTAGTGTTTGTGGCGCTAGTGTGGTGGTCCTAGTGTAGTGCTGTCAGTTAATGTGCTAGGCTACAAAGTCGGTTTGAACTATAAGGTCAACAGTTCAAGCACACCATTCATTCCATGGAAACCCTAAACAGAATCACTATGATATGGAACCAAATCAACGGCACTTAATAACAAAAACAACAGTATTTCTATGTATACACACATTGAAATTCATAGTTTTGAAACATATCAAAATACTTCTAATTCAACAAATTCAAATTTTTGTGATAAGATAATGAATAAGATGTCTAGTGGTACCACCAGATAAGAGTGCTATCAAAAACGTAATCATGAGTTATAATAAGAAATTAAGCTAGGAAAAAAAAAAGAAATTAAGCTAGAATGATCTGTAGCTTCAACTCAAATAAAAATTATAACTTTAATCTAAGATAAGCACAGGACCACAAGGTTGGTGATTCAAATTCACAAGTTGCTCCTCGGGAACCCTATACAGGGTTGCTATGAGTCGAAAACAACTCGACAGCACTTAACAACTATATAGGGTTGCTACTCCTTGGAAACCCTGTACAGGGTCGCTATGGGTCGGAACCGACTCGACGGCACTTAACAACAACAACAACTCCTTGTGTGGTGCTATGTAAGATCAGCACTGGACTGCGAACCACAAGGTTAGCAGTTCAAACCCACCAGCTGCTCCTTGGATACCCCATATACGGTTGCTATGAGTCGGAAAACTGACTCAATGGCTCTTAACAACAACATGAAAAATAGGAAACTGTTTTAGTTATTCATGGGAACACACATACAAAAAAAATTAAAGTTCAAGTTTTGAGACTTCAACATACTAAAGAATGCACCCAACAAACAAAATAGCCTCTGTTTTTATTAAAAGTGCCATCGAGTCAGTTCTGATTCACAATGACCCTGTGTAAGGTTTCAAAGGAGCAGCTATCGGGTTTGAACCATCACCTTTAGGTTCAAATCAACCTTGTGGTCCCAGGGCTCTAAAACACCCTATAGAGTAGTGGTATCCAAAAGAAATAATCAGTCATCTTTGTAACAAATCACGGGCCACCTCTAACAAAATTTAAAATTTGTTGTGGCACTGTCAACTAATGCGCTAGACTGCAAGGTCAGTTTGAACTGCCAGGTTCTTGATTCAAGTTCACCAGATGCTCCTCAGAAACCCTATACAGGGTAAATAAGAGTCAGAACTGATTCAACGGCACTTAAATATAACCTTAAAAAAGGAAAAGTAAAAAGGAATTTTAATATATAAAAAGTTATCATTTCAACATTGTAATCAATTTAAAATATTTTACTTTTTTTTTTTGCACTAAGTCTTTGAAACTTCATACATAGAACATATTTCAATTCAAATAACCATATGGTAAGTGATCAACAGCAACATGTGGCCAGTGGCTACTGAATGAACAGCTCAGGTCTTCTCTAGAGACAATAAAAAAGTTCATTTTGAGTGATTTAACTGTATATTCTCCCAAAGTTCCCCCAAATCCAATATAACACAGAGGATTTATTTTATTTTTCTGTTCAAAATGTTTTTTAAACTTTTGTTCAGAAATTAAGCACTATAACACAATCTTTTTGAGTTGCAATTTTACAAACAAAATTTTAACAATTCAAATCTTTATAATGCACTATTTTCTGAGGAAGTGAGTTTCAATGTATCAGGCGACAAAAAGATGAATGCTAAGCAAACAGCATTTGCTCAGATCACCTTTTAGATGTGTTTTAACCTTTACAGAATATACTAAAAACAGGCATGCTGTTGCTGTTATGTGTCGTGGAGTCGGCTCCGACTCATAGCAACCCTGAACAGGGTTTCGGAGACTATAAATCTTTACAGGAGCAGAATGTCTCATTTTTCTCCCTTGGAGCATGATTTTCCACTACCAGGAAATAATTCGGTAATTACTTAGCATTTAGATTTACACATTACATACATTTTAATCATTATAATAAATTATTTTCTTCTCACCTTAATGAAAGCTGCTCTCAGTGTCTGAGCTGCAGACAGATTTACTCGTTCTAGCTGCAATATAAATTTAAAATCATAATTAATGTCAACTTTGAGGAAGTAAAGCACATTTCTGATACTGCATTCTATAGAATCACACTAAAACATCCATGATTCAATAACAAAAATACCTGTCAATGATTCTAAATCACCCTAATTCCTCAAACAGACAAGCTATCTAAAATTTTCATTAAATACCATAAAAAATTAAGTTAGTATAACATTTAAAAAAAAGATAATAGGACCCTTTATCACAAATAGTTTGTTTTGTTTTTTAAATTTAAGATAAGCACAGAATGTGAATAACACCATGAGTCCCTGTGGATAGAACAAACATTTCTTTAAATTCTTGAATATACAGAGCATTTAAGGTTAAACTCTGTTTTATTGCTGCAGCTATTGTTGTACACCCTCGGAAACCCTGTACAGGGTCGCTATGGGTCGGAACCGACTCGACGGCACTTAACAACAACAACAACAAATTGTTGTACTTGGTAAATACTTGGTGTGTGTTTGTAGTATTGACCATTTTTTAGAATCTTTCACTTTCTACTTAACACCTTTCTCTCTTTAACTTTCTATTGAATTCACTCAGTCAGGAATTAAACTGCAATTTGTCTATTTGATAATTAGCAAATAACTGATAAAAAGTCTGTTACTCAAAAGGAAAACTGTAGGTCACTTGTAGATTCCACAGATTCTTATACCTGTTCTCTTATCTTGCCAGGGTTAAGACTTAGTTACCCCAAACACTGAGTCAACCATTCAGCTCAAAGGCTCTTAATTTTAATATCAAACATGTGCAATTATAATTTCAAAAAGATGATGCGGTTATTACATACTTTATATGATTGTTTAAGCTAGCAAAAAGAAAACATACAAATAATTTTTTTTTTTTTTTAAATAACCACTAGCTTCAACTAGATTCAGATTTCTTATATCCCTAAGGATTAGGATATTTACGTCAATAAAACTCAAATGCATATATTTTTTATTTGGGCCAATATTAAACGTTGGCAAACAATGTAACCTTTATGGATCTTTATACAAGTGGAATATTTCTACAAAACCCTATGAAAATATACTATGCTCTGCAGTAAATATTCCTTTCAATCCCTTAAGACAAATTATGTGTAAATTTCACCTTATAAACAACATTATTATGCGTACATCTAGGGTATCTCCAAGACTTTAAATAAATTTATTTTGTAGGCAAGTAAGTCAAAATTACAATAATCTTATTTCTCATGTGTTATTCACCAGAAACATTAAGGCAAAGGCAACAAAATTGCTAAGATCAAGAATTTATCCACCCCCCCCCCCACCGCCGTCAGTCAAAAACCCAACAGTATATTAAACTCGGTATTTAACTTAACTTTATATAGTGACAGACTATATAAAGAGCTATGAAATTAATGCCCTATGTTACAAAAAATGAAAGTACTTCCTGTTTTCACCCAATTCATTTAATGACATGAGTTCTACTTAAGATAAAAAAAAAGAGAGAGAGAGACAGCAGGTATGAGCTCAAGTTATTATGAAAGAGGCAACAGAGGGCAGACAGACAGGATGAACGTTTCCACCCTGATATGAACTTACGCATTTCCTTATTTGGGTTTATACCACACTCTGACCTCTTGCAGCAAGTCAAAGGTCTGAGTCAGATGTGTGCTATCAAGTATCAGCACTAAGTCATTCTCTGCTGCCCTTCCTTGTCTGGTATATATTTTAAGAAAGGGTTAAGGCAGGTAAAAGAGACCAAGAAAAGTCAGTGATGAACTGATAAAGTTATGCAAGATAGACATCAGGGGAGGATCCCTAGATAAGTTCACATATGTGTAGTTTAGCAAAGAAAGGGGAAGTCATAAGGAGTTAAAACATAATCAAACCTGTAAACTGTGAAGCATTTTACTGGAAGTAATTTTAAGTGACCGTAATCTAAGGTCCTGTGTGGTGCCATAGGATAGGTACTCGACCCCAATGTCGGCAGTTCAAACTCACCAGCCACTCCTGGGAAACCCTACACAGCGTCCTTATGAGTAGGAACCCACTTGACAGCACTTAACAACAACAAACTAATTTTTTTATATACTGGTCAGAGGAAAAGAGCAGGACCCCCCAGCGAGATGGACAGCAGAGTGGCAGCATCAATGGGCTTAAGTGTGGCAAAAACTGTGAGGTTGGCCCAGGACCAAGCAGTGTTTCATTCTGTTGTGCACAGGGTTGATATGAATCGGTACCAACTTGATGGCACCTAACAACAACATATCCTTCTTAAATCTATCTTATAACAGGGTCTATTTTTCTCTCCCCATTTAAAAAAGTGCTTATCTTTCAGGCTGCTGATTTGGGATTTAACATTTCTAACCTTCACAATAAATCAGTAACTATCATCATCTTCATTTTACAGAGGACAGGAGTCAGTTATATAAACCTGCCTAATGTTTCACAGTAGAGTCAGGATTCATTTATTATCTGCCTGTCTTCAAAACCAATACACAACCCTCTGATGCAATCTTGCTTCCCTGTCCTTGCCTTTGCTGGACTAACTTGTCCTGTCATAAAATCTCCTCAACTACATAAGAACCAACACATTCTTAAGCTTCTATCATGTCCAAGTAAGTCAATATGAGAGATTCAAAGAAACAGAATATAGTCCTGGACCCAAAGAAGCTTAATCTAAGCCAACAGTAACTGAGTAGATTCACTGCCAGCTGAATTAGGAAGGAAAGTCATTGTAATGATGCTATAAAAAATAACTGGTTACTGAAGAGCATAGCCTTTTAAAAATGATTACACCTTGGAAGTTCTCCCACTTAAAAGCAGTTTCAGGGTTGACAGAATCATGTTTTTATGCAAGTTCAGAACACAAAAGGATTTTCATTTGTTTCCAATGCTTTTCCTAAGGACACTTAAGTGACCTTGAGAAAATAGTCTTTGGCTAGTGGTTCCTTTAAAGAAACCAGTGGCAACAATTTTTATTAGCTATAATAGAACACTCTTGAACCATATTTTGGGTCCAACTGAGGAAAAATAATGTATGTGTTAATGGATATTTGGGTGGAAAGGTACTATTTAGATGTAAAGATACTATATCAGCCATATATGATTTCCATGTCAAATAGTAAAAGAGAGAATACCAGAAAGATGCTTACCGGCACTTGAGCAAAGGTTTTTGACTGTGTAGATGATGACACGCTATGGACAACATTGCGGCATATGAGTACGCCAACACACTTAATTGTGCTCATGAGGAATCTGCACATAGACCAAGAGGCAGTTGTTCAAACAGAACATGGGAACACTGAATGTTTTAAAATTAAGACAGGTATGCGACAGGGTTGTATTCTTTCACCATACTTATTCAGCCTGTATGCTGAGCAAATCATCAGAGAAACTGGCTTATAGAAGAAAAACGTGGTATCAGGATTGGAGGAAGACTCATGAACAACCTAAGATGGGCAGATGATACAACCTTGCTTGCTGAAAGTGAAAAGGACTTAAATACTTACTGATGAAGATCAAAGACCACAGCATCTCAATGTACAGAAAACAAAAATCTTCACCACTGGACCAATAAACAACATTCTTATCAACAGAGAAAAGACTGAAGTTGTCAAGGACTTCATTCTTCTTAGATCAACCATCAAGACTTACGGAAGCAGCAGTCAAGAAATCAAACAGCATATTGCATTAGGCAAATCTGCTGCACAAGACCTTTTTAAAGTGTTGAAGAGCAGAGATGTCAGCTTGAAGACTAAGGTGTGCCTGACCCAAGCCATGGTATTTTCAATAATCTCATATGCATGCAAAAGCTGGACAGTGAATAAGGAAGATCATAGAATTGATGCATTTGAGTGTGGTGTTGGAGGAGAATATTGAAAATGCCATGGGCTGTCAAAAGAACCAACAGATCTGTGTTGGAAGAAGTGCAGCCAGAGTGCTCCTTGGAGGCCAAGATGGCCAAACTTCGTCTCTCATACTTTGGACATATTGTCAGGAGGAACTAGTCGTTGGAGAAGGATATCATGTTTGGAAAGGTGGAGGGTCAGAGAAAAAGAGGAAGACCCTAACGAGATGGACTGGCAAAGTGGCAGCATCAATGGGCTCACGCATGGCAACAATCGTGAGGTTGGCCCAGGATCAGGCAGTGTTTCGCTCTGTTGTGCATAGGGTTGCTCTGAGTCGGTACCAACTCGATGGCACCTAACAACAAGTAAAAGAGTGAGGAAAAGACAATCAGAGTGAGAAAAATGGGTATGTAACATCTCATCTATTTAAAAGAGAAGGAAAAATACCTGCTAAAGCACACTGGGAGGAAAATGACAGGTTGGTGAAACCCAACATTGGATATCACTCCCACCCAAAGACTCTCAGTTTTGTGAACTGCTCTTATAACTTGGTATTCACAGCTTTAAAAAAAATACTTATTATCAGCTTCAAACTAAAAACTTTGGATCATTTATAAAAATATTTTAATAGTTCAAACATTGTATTGCTATACTTTATTTTCTAGTATTAAGACAGTTTAATACCATAAGAACAACAAAAACAAAAAATCCAGTTAGCACGTTGGTTACTCAAGTTTTAGTCTTGCATAAAATCTTACAAAAACTGTTTGTTTTTAACAGAATCACTTTATTTTTTAAAATAATTTAAAATATTTTATTGTATTTTCAATTAAAGTTTACACAACAAACAAGGTTCACATGTGATAATTTCTACACAAATTGTTCATTGATACTGGCTATGTTTTTCAAGTGGCAACATTCTCTTAAACTACATTCTGGTTGGTTGTTCTGTTTCCAGTATTACTAGGTTCTCTGCCTTCTTATCATCTATCTTTATTTTACAGTAATTGTCATCCTTTTAGTCTCATATAGATGGTATGGCACAGCAGGATAATGAGCTGGATTGTAAGGTCAGTTTGAACTGCAAGATCGGCATTTCAAACCCACCAGCCACTCCTCGGAAATCCTGTACAGGGTCGCTATGGGTAGGAACCTACTCGATGG